CGCCACTTAGGCGGGCTTTAAAAATCTCCGATTACCGGAGTTACTTACATATAAAGCACTAACCTCGGGCACTATTTGAGAAAAAGTAACGTGCCCCATGAAATACCCCTACTTATGCAGGGTATTTCATGGGGCACGTCAAATAGTGACGGAGGTTAGTGAATTATGAGTAGGAAGATTAGTATCAGAAATGTGATGAGCCCCGTAATGAGTGGGCTTAATGAACTCGGAATAGGCTCATTTGAACCTGGATTGGGTCCGAAATGATTAGATCTATTTAGAAATTCGGAACTGAAATATTAGGACTATCAGATATCAGAAATAGACTGGAACAGCCATTAACTAAGACTATATATCTAAAAATACTATAATAATGGAAGGCATCGATAGAGGCTGAAAGGTTTGTTTAGAAATCTCGATTACAGATGTTGGTGAAACAGTATGATTTTCACATTAGCAATCCTGTAAAAAAAATCGAGTTTTGTTAATAATACCAGGGCCGATGATTTTTCTGCATTTCACAGAATCAGGTCCTACCTAAACACAGAATGCGTCAATGATAGCACGGAATTGTCGCAGAAAATAGGATTTATAATTTTTTTTTATAAGTACATGATGCTAAAAAATATAGCTTCCAAAAATTTCCGATGTATAAAATAAATGAATCTAAAATACGAGCATGGTCGAATTAAAAATTTTGCTTGATATCTGAAATTATCCGAGGAATAAGCAATTAACTTATTGCAGAACATTCGAAATTTCTAATACAGTAATATAACCAACACAGAATTCATGAATAACCAACGCAGAATCCATAAATCTTAATGCACAGAATTTTTGCACAATTTGATTTTGCCACGGACGGAATCGGAATTTATCACCGCAGAAAATCATCGGCCTTGTGTTGCTATGATAGTAAATCATCTAACACCCCCAATAACGTACTAAAATTTTTGGCATATATCAAACATCTTTACTTCTTAAACTTTCTCAAACTTTAGGTTGGATAAAAGCAACATTTATTTACTTTCGTCAAAATATAGGCATTTAATTAATAAATGTTCTAACTTACAGTATATCACAAATCTATTTTCATATACAGTATATCCGATATATATTTTCACTTTATAGATTTTTTACTTAATTGATAATGGTGATATTGAAAACCGTGAAGAAACTTCACAAACAGAATCACATCATCTATACTTAATAATTCTGAATAATCTTAATATCGGAAGCTTTATTGAATCTGTAAATGGCAAAGTTATTACAAAAATGGATAAAAATCTAATTACAAAAAAGTAATGAAACAGCAATTATCATCATTTGTACCATTCAAAATAATGAATATAATAGTTCTAAAAATCAATCACACCTTTTCAGTTTGAAGAATTTCGAAGTCATGTGATATAATTATGCAAATAATCTGTAATTGTAACACAACAAATTAAGCGGTTTTTTATAATTAATCTCTGTAGTTTGTGTTACAAATGAATGTAATCTTTTTATGAAATTTTCCATCTTGCGCTTTCTGTACTTTGTGTAATTTAAATTGTAGATACTAAGAATCGTCTCGAACTGGCTTTAACATAACTCTAGCATGGAAGTAAGGACGTGCCTTGAGCTAGTACGTTAAATTTTTGCATACAATAAATTAGAAAAAAGTCTATGTAGATATTTGTATAGAGTCGCGATAAAAATTTAAATACAGTAATTTATTTCTATATTAAATAACCGGATAAAATTCTTGTTACATTTTTTTTTTTATATCATTTTGAGTTAGTTCATGCCGACACGATATTATTTAAATTGCAAGTAATTATTTTAAATCCGGAAATCACACCAGTGGTGTTTAACACTATTTCAAAAATTAGGTTAATTAACGCTTGATAATCTCTTCCTAATTTCTAAAAAAATTTTGATTATCAAAATATGATCATTATAACACGTGAATCTTGAAATTTTTTGGCTGGTTAGGCCGGTAGTTAATGCTCATTGTTTTTGTGTTTTTGTTACACTACAGACACGCGTAAAGGATTATTGATACATCAAAAACGTAGCTTTTGCATAAATATTAGTTGTCCTATAACAATAAGATCCAATCACTAGCTCAGAATGCTATCAATTGACGATCTGATATCTGATAACTACTGAACTAGTGTTAGTTTTTACATTTTTTTCTTTAGAACTTTATTTTTCCCTTTTCGTTTGCAGTTTCTCACTTTATAAAAATATATACTGGGAACAACGTAAGGTGAGGTAAGTTTTTGGCTTATTTGCAAAGTATTAGTTAAGGCGCCCACACATTGTAATATACATTTGTCACTGTGGAGCTTTAATTCATGTCTTTGGTCATTGGTCTAAAATTAAGCCTTCTTTGAGATGACCACCACTCAAGCTTACTTTGGGCCCTATACTCAAATATACACGAATGAAACCAATTTTGAATGGAATCGTGTGGGCTTTCTAAGACCTGATCTTACTCAACAAGTATTAAAACTACAACAAAAACGAGTTGTACTTCCAGTCACGTCTAAAGCGGAACGTCCAAAAAAAGAACAAGAGTTTCTATCAATACAGAATCGTGCTTTGGGAGAATTAAAAAATGCTCTCGAAATAGCTTTAAGCAGATTTGATAGATGTCCGCCAATGTTTAAAAATGATGTTGACAACATGAGTATTGCTCATGTGCGATCTTGTTTTGACAGGGCAATTAAAAATCTGCATAGTTATTGTTATGAGTATCAAAATTCTCCCAAAGCTCCCAATGCCCCAAAATCATCCTTCACTGTCCCCCCCAAAGCTCCCACTGTCCCAAAACCTCCTTTCACTGTCCCC